TATAAATTTGGTTTTACGTAATGATAAAAATATGGCGATTGATTCCCTTGGGGAAGTGTGGCCAGGTGCTTTGTTGGAAGTGTTCCCGGTATGTGAAATCCATCACAGACCGAGATCGATTGCCTCCATCTGAGCCATAAGACCCGGCGGATATCCTGGCGTTCCTTCGGAGCGGAAGGTGGAGAAGGTCTCCGAACCGATCGGAGCGATCAGAAAGGCGATTGTGGTCCTTAACAAGGAGTCCGTATCGCCACTGTGTGAGTGCGGAAGCAAAGTGTACTATGGTTTTGAAAGCGATGAGTCTGGGAGTCTGGCAACTTTAATATCTGGCTTCTAAGCAGCTATATGGCGCATGATCTTGGCGAACAGCCTCCTGTTCAGAAACATTGTGCGTGAAGCAGACGGCATATACCGCTGATTATGGGCGCAGACGCAAACGCGCACCACATTGTCTGGGGAAGCTCAGATGTTAATATAAGAGGTTAGTCTCTATTAGATAATAACCTAGTAGTATTAAACAGATGTTCAGAACCAACTTTCTTCGTTGCAAATAGAAAGGAGGTACTGGATATTACGGTTGTGAATGCAAACCATATTGATCTGGTTCAGGGTAGGAAGGTCTCAAAAGAGTGTTCCTTCTCTGATCATTGCTATGTAGAATTTGAAATAGTAGTTCAGGAAAATATTGCAAAACCATTTCTCAACGGGAGAAAGACAAAATGGCAGGTCCATAAGTCGACCTTGACTAATATTCTTCCTTCTGCTCCTATTATCGAAAACAGAAGGGACATCGAAGTAGCCGTTTATTGGTTTTCAAGCTCTATTATTGTCGCCACAAATAGGGCTTGTAAATCATCGAAAGGTAAACATAAGGGTAAGCCCCCTTGGTGGGATCCCAAAATTGCGTAAACTCGTAGGTTGTGTCGTAGATTTTTTAACGGGGCAAAGAGATCTGGTCTCAACGAAAGTTAATGAATTAAAAAATCAGGTACGTAGTGCGAAACGTAGTTCCTGTAGAAAAATCTGTAGTTCTATAGAAAGCTCTTTAGATACGAGACGCCTTGTAAAATCCTGTCCAAATCCCCTTCTGTCCCAAGCTATATACAAAAAGTGGACGAAAATTGGACTCCAGGTAGTCAGGAGACACTTGAGCTTCTCCTGAATATTAATTTTCCCGGTTGCATCTCAACTGGTGAATCAATTACGCATGATCAGTACAGTGTCGACCTAGTAAACACTGCTGTAAATATTGAGATAGATGATAACATCATCCGCTGGGCAATTAGGAGTTTCGAAACCTATAAATCACCTGGCCCTGATGACATTATTCTAGCGGATCTACAAAATAATATAGATCTGATCACTCCTTTGCTTAGTACTTTTACAAGGCCTGTATTTATTGGTCCTACATACCTTCGCAGTGGACCAAATGTAACGTGATTTTTATCCCAAAAGGGGGTATGATATCACACACAAACTCTGGAGAGAATAATAGATATCAATGTTAGATTTTCGATTGATAAATCTTTGCTCTCAAAATCTCAGCATGCATATACATGGGTTATGGAAATTTCACTCTAGTTGCCTTTCTTGACATCGAAGGCACTTTTAATAACGTCAGTTTCTCACCTATCTGTCAATCCCTCTCTCAGACTCACTGTGATTTTTGTGAAGAACTTGCTATCACAACGGCTTATTGTATCCTCACTGGGTGATACAACAATCTGCAAAACAGCCATACGGAACACTCCTCAGGGAGGGGTGTTATCACCACTCTTATGGAATATGGCAATAAATGGACTCCTAGTTAGACTTGATTCACTAGGTTTTAAAACGGTTGCATACGCTGATGATGTTGCATTAGCGGTAACTGGTACGCATCTTCAGACCTTGTCTCAGAGGTTAGAAGAAGCGCTAAATAATGATAATACAAAATTTCTCAATTCTCTCTCTCTCTTCCACGTCCAAATGGCGAGGTCCTCATGCTGTCGGATAACGCAAAATACTTAGGTGTTATTTCGATAGGAAGTTGTTTTGGGTTTTGATCATAATCTCTAGATCTTCAAAAGCTATTACGACGTTATACGTTTGTAGTTTGTACACTGGGGTATCAACCCAGGAAATGTATGAAATGTAACCTAACCTAACCTTAGTTCCAGAGGTCATGCAAAGATTGTGGATATTCAATAATTTGGAAATCATTTGCTTTAAATTCAAATATTTTTTCAAAATTATTTAAATTTTCTCATTTAAGAATGAAATTTAAGTAGATTAATATTCTTATAATGTCAATCAAGATAAAAATAAGTACAACGTCCGATTCCAAAAATTTGAAATATTAATGATAATTTGAATCCCATTATCTCAATGTCTTCTTATTTTTATTTGAAACGAAATATTGAAAGTTTTCACATAAATATTATTTTAACGGTACTTTTGAAAATAGTATCAAAAAAGTAGCATCGTACCAATTTTGCCATCCATGGGAGGAGGAGACAATCATCTTCTGTGTAATTGCCCGGCCCTTGAATCGATTCGTCAACGCCATACTTTTCTGATCTGTCAGATCTGTCAACTGTTCAACCTGAAGGTATTCTTGCATTCCTAAAATTATCGAAGTGTATGTGTAATTAATCTCACACTATGTTCTCTACTTTTTTATAGGCTCGTTGTCATCTTCATTCTTCACTTCTTCAATATTATCTTTACTGTCTCTATCACTATTTTTCTCTTTCCAAATCTTGTTTCTTTCCAGACGTTACAAAGGGACCAAATAGGACCCAAGCAAAACTGTACTTATGACAGTTTACAGCCTGCTGAACCTAAAACCTAATATAGCACACTAACTTGTTTATTTTACATGTTTCAAAATTATTCATTTAAAGTTTAATGATACTTTGATGGTCAAAATATTCCGTCAATTTTTTTGGTAAAATAAATCCGAGGAGGACATATTGAGACGTTTAAGTAGAAACCAATTTTAAGAGACAGCAAATAATATTTGTTCAATAAAATCTTCTGATCATAAACTTTTTTAATTGAAAATGAAAACTTTTCATTTTGAGTTCAGATTTAAATTTTACATTCAAAACATTCAAATCCAATTGAAAGAGATTTTCCATTTCGAATTCCGAAAAGAACAATTGAATTTGTATTTAGAAAAATCAATGAGATTTTTTCATTGGAAATTCCGAAAAGAACAGGTGAAAATTAGAGTTTTAATATGAAACCCGGAAAAGAAAAGTTTGATATTGAACATAAAGTGTATAACACCGTACGACAAAAAGAGAAAAATTTCGTTAGACACGAACAGGATGATATACGTCTGAATCTATAAATTTAATGGAGAAAAACTGCGTTTTCAGTTTTTCATTTCGTGATCCTGTGTCCTTTTTAAAGGACTTCAAAATTTTAAAAAGTAAATTTTTCAAAAAATATTTTGAAATACTTCTGCTGATCAAACATTGCCGAATTTGATGCCAAGAGAACAAGAAAAGTTCGGAAATATTTTGTATAATATTTATTTTTTACTGACAGGATAAAAAGATATCAAAAATGTCTTTTAAAATTTGTATCCTTTAATATCTAATTAGGTTTTCAATATAATTTTTTCAAAAAAATTTAGAATAACATTTTTTACATCATTAGATCCTAACAGAATAAAATAAAAATAACACGAAATATTTCCCAACTCTTCTTGTTCGCTTGACACTAAATTAAGCATTAAGCATTAAATGAAACATGTAATTTTCTACGCTAAAACTGAAATACCTGAGAAATTATACTATTTTTCTGATAGGCATTATTGAGCACAAACAAATCTGTTTTTGAAATTTGCCAAACACCTTTAAAATCTTGGGATACGGGTAAAAAACAGTTTTTCGTACTTCTAAGCACTTATAAATTCGTAAGTTAGTTGATTCTCAGTCGATTTTAAATTTCTTAACGGATTTAGAAAGAAAAAACAGAGGCCTTTACAATGACATACATATGTATATGATGTTTAAATAACCTTGAGAAATATGTGTGCATTTCATGAGCAAAAATATATTTGATTTTAATTTTGCACCGTTTTTCAAGTTTGGAGATGTTTTTATATGTTTTTAGAAAACTCTGTCTGTTAAACGCAACTTTGTTTTTAAAACTCCGTTAGCAATTTACTAAGTTATTGATTTTTTTCTTAATACAAACTTGTTCAAAAACTGAAAAAATTTGGTGGATGGATTTATGTTTATATAAAAGTTATTTATACTGAATCTCATCATGATATTTAGAAAGAGAATTATTTGCTAATTTGCATGGGGACTAGGAAAAAAACACCGTATGAACAAAATGTCCAACTTTGACCCCCTCTAACTTTGGCAGTTCTTGACCGACATAGCTGAAAATTTGTGTCACTTGACACGAAATTGCCCGTATGTATAGTTCCTTAAATAATACTTAAAATTATTTAATTATTATTTTCCATGGAAAATCAATTTTTAATACGACAAATTTATAATATGCTTAAATGCTAGTCCAATAAAGCATAATACAGTTATTATATTTCCGGCAATAAACAATTATAACACTTTGAAAGAAAACTCATAAAAACCCGAACTACTTAAAATTATTTAATTATTATTTTCCATGGAAAATCAATTTTAAAACGACAAATTTATAATATGCTTAAATGCTAGTCCAATAAAGCATAATACAGTATATTATATTTCCGGCAATAAACAATTATAACACTTTGAAAGAAAACTCATAAAAACCCGAACAACCCCGGGTACACACAGCTAGTTTTATAATAGAGAAGGAATAGTATGTTAGTTGTATTTCTTCACTAATTTTCGAATTGACAAATTGGATAATTAGAGCGAGTCGGCATAAGAAATATCGACGTTACATTAAATTGCATAAATATCAGAAATTTATAAAAAAAAAAACATAATAAAACAACTTAAATAAAAATTTTATGTTCTGTCTGTTAGAAAATAAAATATGTATATACTCACTGGCTCCCTGCTGGCATCTGTATAACTAAGATGAGCAATGAACATTTTGCCTTCAAAATTGATTTTATGAACTTCATTCCAACGAAAATGCTGCGACCGTTTGCCAGAAATAAAAGTACTAATGCCAGAATAATTAATTCCAATATATAACTGGGAGCCTCGATGATCTTTTACAGGATGAGGATCTATTCCGTATGTTTCAAGACCTCTAGCAATACCCATGAATTCATCTATCGCAACACTAGGATCTTGATAAGGTTGTCGTTTTTTGTGTAATTCCATAATTTTCTTCTCAAGCGTTTCTGTTTGGCGTAAAGCTAAATTCATTGATGATACGTAATTATCAATATGAATGTCTTCGTTGAAGTCTCCAATCTCCTCTGAAAACAACAAAACACGTACACATAAAATAATGAAAGTTTTTTTAATTTATTCGAAAATGGTTTTTTTTTTTTCTAAAGAGACAAAGTTAGTAGTAAGTTCAGCTATCGATTGAAATTATACAATTTAAATGGAATCATTTTTTAACAAATAAGAGAATCGACTGTGTCGTCTTTATATAGTGAGAACTTCTTGATTGCTCCCATGGCAGTTGTTTAAGCGTAATTTTTGGCGAGCTACTGTTCGGTTATTGTTCCGTTAAATAAATTTTTTGACAACATTAGATTTGCCAATTTAATACATCTTTGTTGGAAGATTCTAACGAGTACATTATTACATTATTATTGTTTCCCACTAAATTAAGTGTGTTGGTTTTGCGCATGACTTAAGATATTAATAAGTATAATCTACGACACAAGCACCACGTGCACTTTATCATCCCAGCAAAAACTCGGAAATGGGTTGTACTTACATAACCACTTCCATTTCAATGACTACTACTTACCGTCTGCGTTACTTAGAAGTAATCCAGTAATGAAAGAAAATTAAATTTATATGTGAAAACCATTATTTGATGAACAATGAAATAGCTAAGCAGTGGTGCAGTGAGTAGAACATTTGACAAACAAACCGAAATCCATTGTACGTAATCTCACTGACTCTTTTTATTATTAAAAAGCGAAACATCTTACTAAACAACTTCTTTGTAAGAGAAATTGCAAGTACTTCTATAAATACCTATTTGTAAGGTGACGTGGAAGTACTTGCCTCCAATGACATCGCCGTGTTAAAATAATGAATTAAAATCCAAAAAACTGGAAAAAACAGATATGGAAAATAAAAATAAAAAGATAAAAGTTACGGTGCAGGGCCTAAATAACCCAGTACCGTCGGCAAGTGTTGATCCACTCGCGAGTCACGTGTCGTCGTCATCCTGCAATCGTGAGCAAAATACTACTACGGAGGTGGGTACCTTGGCCTCCGTGGCGGACAATGCGTCAAGTGTACAGCATGCCACTGGCAAAAATATAGGTGTGAAAGAGAAGGATGTACTCGGAGAGAGCTCTAAGCTACCTCAGCCTTTTAATATAGGTGAGGGCTCCGACTCTGGATCCTCAGATGATAATAATAATACCATTATAGCAAATCCCAAAAAGGATGAAGTAGAGCAAATGGTGAAAGAGGTGAGTGATAGCATAGCTAAACTACCTATTACTAAGAAAAGACTTTCTGGAGCACAGAGGAGGAAGTTGAGAAAGATGCTTCAGGAAATCATAGTTAGTCAATCCCACGACACTCCATAGGAAAAATCGGACTCTCTCACAAGATCAGAGGCAAAAAGGTCTCCCGAGGAGTTGACAACTGAGAATAAACCTAAGATAAAAAAGAGCTCCCCGTCTTCTAATACACAGTCGAAGCCAAGCCATACTTCACTCAAAGGAACCTCAAGTGAGAATCCTGCGCCAAGCCAGATATTCCGAAGACGAACACGTCGTGCGAGTTCAGCATGGGTGTGATGTTGATGAGGTTGGCATCTCACCAATGTGTTAGCACCCTAAAGAACTTGGTGGAAAGTATCCCTCCTCCCTGGGACGGCGCTAAGCTGGGACTGGCAAAGAAGAGCGAGCTTCCGGTGCTCTTAAAGTCCACTGTCTGCATAAAAGGATGGGGCAGTAAACTGGCTAATGAACGTATACTGGAAATTCTTGGAGGTCAAAATGCTGAGCTTGGGATGTCTTTTACAGGAAAGAAGAACCTGAGGGAACTTTATTTGTAATAGGTATCGACCAGAAATCCATGGCTAATCTTGCCAAGAATAAAGGTACGGCTTACTTCGCCTCTAAAGATGTCATATTCAAAATTGGGAAGGTGCCGATTGGAAGGGCTGTTACAACAAGCCTCGAAAAGGACACTAAAAAACCTAAGACCATAGCATCAGTATCCACTACTAATAACGTTGAGGAGTCAAATCCTAAAATCGAGGAATTTACCATTAACTCGCCAAAAGAAAGTGTAGTTGCCCTTTCAAAAATTTAGAAGGCGCCGATTGAAAGGGCTGTCAAAACCGGCCCCGACAAGGACACTAAAACACCTAAGACCAGTGTGACCAGGTCTCAAAAAATGTTGCGGCTAAATCCCATCCAAAATAATGCTAGAAAAAATGCTAAATTGATTTTAAAATGCCAAAAAAAAAAAAATGCTAAAATTTTTTAAGTGTTTTTATGAACAATTCATATTAATTTGTAACTGAAATTCATTGTAATTTATAACAAGTAAGAAACTATATTCTGCCGTGGTTGACCATATGAGTATAAAATTTGATTTATTTTTCGTAATAAAGCATTTATGTTGAATTGAACCTTGGTTCCGATATATTTAAACTAATTTTCTGAGAAAGGCTTTATACATTTGTATATGTATGGGGGCTAGGTAAAAAATTAAGTTCCGTGGTATTAAGATAAACAGAAATGCTAAAAATTATTTCAAAATTTTTGTAAATTTAGCAATATGTAATATCTCTAACTTTAAAATATTTCTGAATGCAAAAATTACATTAAAACTCTATTAATTACACTAGTTGCTCATGGTATAAAACCTATATGTGTTTTCGGAAGGAAAAGTATAATATTTCTAGTTTTACTTTTTTTATATAAACAATTTTATTTGTCTTAATTATATATTATTGATTTTTTTCAATACTTATTTTCAATAAATTAACAAGAACTCCTGAAGGATGATAAAAATTAAAACCTCTTTATTTCGTATAGGAAAAAATAAAATTTGTTAATTAACCGTCATACATAGCCTTTTCCAAAATTATATGTTTCATTCCATAAGCAAACAAAAAGTATTAGTTTGTAAAATAGCGTACTGATCGTATTTGTAAAAATATATGAAATCTCTTGAATTATTTCTATCACCTCGAAATTAAAAAGCATTGGGTTCCAGAAAAATATTTTAGAATACAACATTTTAAAGTATTCACTTGTATTGGCGTAATTTTAAGTTATTTATCTTCATGAATCTGTTTGCATTATTTTGAATTACAGTGTAAATTATTACATTTCTCATATTTCTTGTTGCTTGTGTTTGGGTAGACATTTAATTCTGATTTTTTCCGGTTAAACCTATTTCCAATATAAATCTTTTCTGCAAAAATTTGTCTTTTTGCAAAAAATTCTAAAAATATTTTATAAAAATGCTAAATAAAATGCCAAATGCTAAATTAAAATTTTACAGCTAAATCAAAATAAAAAATGCTAAATCTAGCTGCAAAAATGCCAAAATGGTCACACTGCCTAAGACAATACCCAAAGCATCTTGCTAATGATGCTTTGGGTGCTGGCAATGTTGAGGAGTCAAATCCTAAAAGCGAGGAGGAAATCACTCACCCGCCAGAAGACAGAACAGCAGTGCTCTCCAGAATTGGAAATTTGTCTATTAAAAATACTACTGTTCTTATGCCTGATAAGGACACCGCAGAGCCATCAACAGTACCCACTGCATTAATAGCCACTTCAGGCTACCTGGGAAGTCAAATCCAAACAGCGAGGAGGTGACCACCAACTCGCTGGAAGACAGTTTAATGGATGACCATGATTGAGGTTATCCAAATAAACCTCCATCGGAGCGAGACAGCTACCAACGCTCTGATGGCTAAAATGAACACAGTAAAATACATATAGCTTTAATCCAGGAAGAGCTTATAAACGAAATTCAGGGTTGGAGAGTTTCGGACGAGCACTCCTTTTTTTGATCATCGGTACATAAGATTCAAAATACTAAGGCCACCACCAAAGCCGATAAAGTTTCATAATAAGTCTAAAACTAATTGGACAATGTTCGGGACCTTACTAAAGAATCGTTTAGGTCAGGACACTTTTTAATGTCGAAATAAAGAGGATATAGACGCCAAAGTGCCCTCTGCGAGAGCAGAGATCTGCCCAGGAAAAACCCTGGGTAACTGGGGAGATCCGGAACCTTGGGAAGACTCTTCGCAAAGTATTTAACCGGGCACGGCGTAAAAAGACCGCAGTATACTGGGATGAGTATCGTAATAAACTTCGTGAATATAAGAAAATCGTTCGAAAAGCCAAACGAGACTCCTGGAAACTTTTCTGTGAACAGGTAGATAGCGTAAATGACGTATCGAAGATAAAAAAATTCCTATCCAAAACTCATGTCCAACCAGAATCTATGATCGATGACACGGGCAGGAGGTTTGAGGATATGGAGGAGACAATGAAACTCCTAATGGATTCTCATTTCCCACCCGGTATATCGAATAACATAGATGAACCGATATTCGAGGAAGGTGAGGGTAACACGGAAATAGTTATTACAACTGACATGGTTAAAGGGGCAATCAAGAGCTTTGCTCCCTTTAAAGCTGCAGAGCCGGATGGAATTTTCCCGGCACTTTTGCAGATGGAGGCGGGACTGGTTTCCGTACATCTGTCACAGATATTCACTGCATGCTTAAAATTGGCATATACCCCAGTTAAATGGCAAGATGCAAGGGTAATATTTATACCCAAACCAGGGAAACCAAGCTATGCGACACCTAAGTCCTATCGACCGATAAGTCATACGTCCTTCCTACTTAAAACCTTGGAACGGATAGTCGATAGCATGGTTAAAAGCAGCATACCATACAAAGATATAAGCAGCATGCTTATGTTAAGGGACGATCGGTGGAAACCGCTTTAAACGAAGTTGTCCACTACATAGGTGAATCTTTCGATAGCAAACTGTATACACTGGCGGTATGCATTGACATCGAAGGCGCTTTCAATAACGTGCACACTGATACCCTTATCCAATCCCTAGACCAGTTTTATGTTGACCGGGTGCTCCGTAACTGGATCAACTACATGCTAAGGAACAGATGGATAAGCTGCGAGATGTACGATATAACCACAGGGTGGCATTTTGTCACCTTTACTCTGGGTTACCACGATTAATAGCCTCCTGAGGACCCTAACCGAGAAAGGACTTA